GCCAACTATGTATGCCTTTATATTTTGCGCATTTTTTCTCATCTTTGGAAATTTTTCACCTCGGCAATGGGACTTGACTAGCGCTTTTGTGCGTCGCGTCATGGCTGCTGCGTCGCATGATTGTTTTTCTTTCTGTTGTTCGCTTTCGGGGCTTTCCTCGCCACCAGCTAGTCTGCCAGCGCAAGCAACTGTTAAGTGCAGTTGGTCAGCAGTGGCTATTTCGTCAATGGATGGATGGTAGTAGCTAGCGCAGTTACCTACTCACCTACAAGTCGGCAGCCAAGTATTTAGCCATTTAATGTTGGTGTCAGTTACGCCATTTGCTTACGGTTAGCTCATAATTTCAATTGTAATTGTTATTGCCTACTTTTATGGTCAACTTTGACTTTTGGTGGAAGATTTTGATGACCACCGTAGCAGTGGCAGCGGTCGTTGATGGCCACAGTAGCCAAAGGCTGCTGTACGCTTAATGGCTCATTGTTTGGTTATTTTATTTATTTATTAATAATTTGTATTTTTTATTTGCTGTTTTGTTTGCCCATTGTTATTTGCTCTCCGCGGCTTATTTTTTCAACAATTTTATGCACAAAAGTTTTTATTCAAAATTCAAGTGAGTCTAGTGCCACCCGCTTTTTTATGGCTTTAATCGAAGTAACTGTTCAGACCTGTTTTTGCTGCCAATTAGCACTGAATGTCAGCAAAATAGTGCTTGTTTGTTTGCAATTTGCCTTGACTTTTTTCTTCTCGACATCTGCTTTCGGTGCTAATTTTTTGCGCAAGTTTTTTTTTCTGAAATTGAGTCTGACTTTTCACTTTTGCCTTAAATGGCAATTTTTGTGTAAAAACATATGAATTACTTGTAACAATAGCCAAGCCTTTTATTCGCAAAGGTTGTCAAAAAAAAAGAAAAAAAAATTGTCTTATCATCATGGCAATGGCTCTTCTAATCACGACAAATCGGTTTAGGGTATTGCCTTGTACTTTGAAGGTAAAAAGTGCAAAACTTGTGCTTCGAAAAAAGCTTTATTCTTTCTCTTATATATTTTTAGAGCGTGAGTTTTGTTCGTCGAGAGAGAGCGCTCAGCTTGCTGTGCTATATAAGCTATTAAGCGTTGCAATGGAAGAAGTCGCACGAAAGTGAAGCACCTTGTCTGCTCTCGAACGGCGCGGGGTCCTTCCCTGTTTGAGCGCAGCGAAAAGTTAAGCTCGATGGCACTCTATTTAGCCGTTTATTGGAGATTCCAAATTAAGGTATGGTGTCGTAGATGCAACTTGTTTTCCGATTGTGACGAAAGCGGAATTGAGTTCGTCAATAAGCTGGAGTGTGTCAATTTGCTGATCGGGGGCTCTTTCCAGGACTTTGCGTACTGTAAGAAAAAAAAAATGGCCGGAACCCGCATTGATGAGGTCAAATCAGTTGTTTTTCACACATAATCATTGATAGGACTTTGAACAGCTTAGCTGGTATACCGTTTCAAGCCGCATTATTGCTGTTCTTACCTTGCCTAGGCCGAGTGGAAAAACTTGAGCATCGTCTCTATTCAGCATGCTGGGTTTTTCTTCGCTAAACGTTCCGGCCGCATCGCCATTCAAAACCGTTGAAAAGTGATGCCTCCATGTCTTTGGACGTTTGATAAAAGATTACCGTCTTAGTTTCCGCTGGACCTCGCGCCACCCAATCGATTTTCTGATAGCATTTTCAGGCCGTATTTCTGTCTGCCAGTTTTACAAAATCTTAACTTTTTTATCTCTAAACCTCTCGCTGCTTCCTATCGAATGGAATGATTCTTGCTTCCTATCGAATGGAATGATTCTTGCTTCCTTTGTCGATGCTGATGGTCCGGTTAGTATGGCTGCTGCGAAGTCGATCAGGCTTTCTCCGTTGTCGGAGGCGTGCTCGTAAGGGTTGCCGTTTTGGTCCAAATAGAATGTTTTTGGGATCAAGTAAGTTTGACTAAAAATGGAGTGGGTGAAGCGGCCTTTGGAGAATTGTGTGATTTAATTCATAACATTTTTAGTCTACACACAGTTCTGCAGTTCTGAGAAACAAATTATAATTGAAAACTTTAAATAGTATAATGTTAATAATATACAATTTTAATGCAGTTTGGAGGTTATATAAAAAAATAAATGTTATAAAAACTGGATAGGCATATTTTCTTGATAAAGAGGAATAAGCTCCACGCAATTTCCCGATGTCCATTTGGTCCAGTTTTTGGTCTGAAAAATAAATTGGAAATGGTAACCGTGCCAATTTGTACCAAACTCGGTATGGTTATTGTGCTTGCTACATAAAAGCAAAACGTTGAAACGTTATTGAAATCGGACTAAAATTACGGCCGCTTTTCATATAACGGTAAATTTCAGAAATACTTGAAATTTCGCAATTTAAGGACGCTAATTTACTCAAAATTGATACGCCCCGGCTTACCATGTAGCGGTAGCTTTCGGAAAGGTGAAACACATATATTTAATACTTCCGGCGGGTATTTAATGTACGGCTCCGC